AGTACGGCGGTAAGAAAGTTGAAAAGGCACCGTGCGAGATTCATCACAATCGTTTCCATTCGTCTGCTCCAGTCTCGCCGCACTCCGCACTGCGGGAGGGCGTGCACCGCAGAAGAAGTATGTATTGTGACCCAGTCCCGTAGTCAAGTGCTTGCCCCGATTTCTACCCGAACACACTGGCGACAAGGTGGTTTCTCGGGTGCCTGCCGGGTGCTTTGAAAAAAAAAAAAATGGCTTGCGAATACTGAAGCAACCATGACAACGCAATTTCAGCTCAATACAGGAACTACTAGGTTTGAATGGTTCGAATTACTTTCAAATAGGAAATAATTAGACTCCCCAAAATGTCTAGTACGGACCGTACTTGCTGTGGAGAACAACCACGAAAAATAGGAAATTGCAGCAGCACGTGCACATACACTCGGAATCCTTGAGATGTGGTAGGCGTGGCTGCGTACTTCAGCTAAACGTGGCTGTGGCTGTGCTTTTCGGGAAATATTTTCTTTGTGACATCAATTACGATAATGTCTCTATCCAAAACAGAACAAGGTGACGGTTATCTCAAACTGGAATATTCCTCGATAGCCATTTTGTCTCAGTGCCACACCCACTCGCTGCTCAGGGATACGGCAGTGTAACTTCACGAATTGAACCACACGCGCTAAGCCTACTCATTGCTCTGGTTTATCAGAGACAACATTGCCCTTCATTACTTGTGGCAAGTCATGAGGGAAATCTGGAACTATGTCACTTCGCGAAAAAAGTACGCTCCTTGCTTTGCTTTTCCGGCTTCAGTTGTGAGGGACCCAACAGCAAACAACTCAAGTTGTTTTCATAACAAGGTGGCTTTGTGAGTTCGGCTTCATTGTTGTCCCTTTACCTCTGACTACAAATACTACCCCACCTAACCTCTCTTGATGGTACCGCCGTGAAATTTCAACCAGCTTCATCTTTTTCAGGGATAGACTTGGACATAATACCTGGACACAGTAACATATTAAGCGAGGTGCTACACACAGTTTAGCCGAGTACGTTACAGCTGTTGAACTGTATCGATTAACCGATTGCCTAACCTCTACCCGCTTTTGCCTCTATTACAACCTAGTTCGGCATAAAAGTTCAAATCCTCTCACGTGATTAACACCGCTTTCTCAAGAAAAGTCGTAACCTGAGGGGCAAGAGTTATACTGCACTTTGTCAAGCACAGCCTTTTTTAATGCTAACGATCACTTTTAAGTATCTAAGCTGTTCGTGGAGAAAGGTGAAGCGAACTACTATGGGCAAGCTTGAACAAATCTTGAGTCAGGAAGGTGCAATGTAGTGGGGGGAGGGTGTAGGCGCAACGTTACTCAAGTGACTCCGCCCATGTTGCTAGCTGTCATCTGGCTCGTTCTTATGCTCTCTCGCTGCTCTTCTCTGGTTTCTCACCTCAGATCCTCATTAACTTTTTGCCTCTCGCTGTGAGGAAGCAAGGCCTTGTCTAAGCCGTTTCTGACGATTTATCTTGCTTTTTTCATCACAGAAAAGTTAGGGCTACCAATTCGCCTTTCAAATAACCTCGTATTTGGACCCTTCTCGAATTTCACATCCTTTTTTGAAACAGGAGCCCTTCTCGGAGTTAAAACGATTTTCCCGGTTGAGGATTCCTTCTAGGATGAAGTGCCCTGTGTTACGACCAATTGGCTTCGAAGCAGAACATTGGCGCAGATCGGGGCTCGGATGGAGCACCAAATGGCCCTTCGAAGTTCCTACTGAACATCTTGTGAACACCTGTAAATCTCTATGGCCACGGTGGATAACTCGTACCATTTCGCAGCTTCACACGTTTCTACCTGCTATGAATTAGCAAAATTAACGAGCGGAAGTGCAAAATGCCCCTCCCTAAGCCGAGCAGCTCCGACCCTGTGAACTTCACCTTATCTAATGGTAATTGTTATTCAAGAGACTCGTCTTTTTGAATATTACATCCTCATGGTAACTTACGCCAACTTACAACTTACGCCCATACAGTTTCTCATTCTGTTTTGACTGATTACGTAGGTGTGATTAGCCATTGCAATCCAGGGAAATCCGGTTTCGATATTTGGAAATCCATAGCGTACGCATTCGTGAGCAAATCATCAGCTACTACCGTCGTGTTCATCCTCTGTAGAATACCGTCCTAATTCAATAAATCTCTTACGCCGCGGTTTTGAGTGTGCAGACCAGAAGAACAAAGTCCAATGGTTGAACCCAGTTAGAGCAGAGAGTGTGCAAAAAGGCAACAACGAGTTTCTCGGAAGCTGGAGGAGAGATCCCATGGTATGCTTCTTGGAAGCTTCGCCATTAATGAGAATTCGGGACATCGTCCATTTTTGATACTATCTCTTGGATATCAGCTTCAGAGAAGCTGCCACCATCTCTCAATCCTGTCTGAGACCCCAAAAGTGCTTCATTCACTCCGGGACATCCTACGTCCTCCAATGTCCAGCTACAGTCTCCTCGGCAAGGCTTTTGGTAACTGGGTTATCTTACAGATAGTATAGGTGCATGACAGGGCCCGGGGTCGAACAGCGGTGTAGAGTAGCGAATACAGCGGCTACCCTGGAATGTTCCTTGTTGGCGGTGGCTGATGATGATATTCCAGCTCCTACGTATCAAATTCGAATCCCAATTGCGTTCGAGTAGCACGACTTGTACATCGCATTCCCACATCGACCATATGCGGATTTATTGACTTCAATGAAACTAACTTTCGCCATTCAAATTAAAATCCTTTGCATTTACCGTCATGAACAGTCATGTCATATGGTGTATATTTATCTTTCTCTAGTCTTTGAGCTGGTCTTGCAACGCAAAGAGATTTCCAAAAAGATCCTCTCTGGGCGCGTGGTGCACATGCGGCAACGGCGCTAAAGCGTGTGGCAGTGCGAATGTGTAGCCACCCACACATTTTACTGTGGCGTTTACTAGCTCAGAGGAGGCATTTTCCTAGCTGCCCTAGGAGCCGAGCGTGCAGAGTTGAAAAAAGTATGTGTTACCTCCGAGAACAGTCCTTGTCACGTGCGAGGCAAATGGCGAAGTAGCGCGCCCCTTTCTCGGGTCAATGGTGCATGGAAACGAGGCTCAGAGAATGGCGATACCTTCTCCATACTCCGCCCGCCGCACGGCCAGAAACGCGCCCAACTGTAGCCAGACGCGCTAACTGTCTGCGCCCTCTCATCTGGTCGTTTTCTACGGCCAAAAGCGTATTCGCTGCGGGATCTTGGTATCGAGGCAAGTGCTGCACGGATCGAGTATGGAGATGGCACCCCGCTGTCGCTGCTTTTCAGCGCTGTTCCCGTGCAACTTTGACCGGAAAAAGTGGCTTCGCTACAGTTGCGAAATCATTCCCTTCGCTCATGGCAGGGACCGCAGTCAGAGGTTCGTGTATAGTTTGTCTCTCAGCAACCTTTCGTCTTAACGCATCGCCCTACAACTGTCCAACTCAAAAGTGTTGCAAGGTTGTCTACCGCTACACCCTATCTATCACCACACAAAGCTCTGATCATTTCCAGTTATCGAAAAAACTTGCCCTCAATAGGCATAGGAAGAGTGCGATTGTATCAAATGGGTCGTAGCGTTAGAGCCAAATAGGGGAGAATATTATCTTGTAAAATTCACTCGGGAGGTTAGAAAACAACGAGGAACAACCTCTTTACTGCTACCGTGCACATGACGAAAGTCATTGTGCATGGTCAAAGTTTCCTAGCCGGCTCCCGTTGGGCTATTGTTTAGATTGTTGGCTAGAAGAGACATAGTTTATAGTGTCATGAAGAAACGTGTACGGTTCGTGTTTCATTGCTGCCAAATAGTCAACAGCACCGGCATTGATGACTCCTTCCGTATTTTTCCCAGTTCTGAAGTATGCTATGGACTGAGGTATTGTAACGGGGGATGGGGCCTTTATCACAATCCACGTTCCGAGATCTCATTTAGGGTCGACTCTTAACCAATCCATACAAGCTCTCAACTCCTTCAAAGTCGCTTGATTTGTTTGTATCAGGCTTATCCGGGAGGATGGAATAACTGGTTATTAACTTATTTTCCTTTCGTGACTCATTGAAGACTTGATAGTGGTGATAAGGGGATACTTCACAATCATAATTGATGTTGTACCATGGAGTAGTCGAGGAACACTTCCGTCTACTCAAGCCCAGTTGTATGTGCAGCCCAAGAAGACACACCCTCGGTGCTTCTGGTACTCGAGCGGAATGCTGTACAGTATAGATTATGGCCATCGCTGTCATTCACTCTACTCAGATCCAGAAACTCGCGGAAGGTGTTCTAGAAAAGCAGTCAAGACCTGCTCCGCTGCACTTCCCTTATGAGTGCGCCTTGGTTCAGGCCGGTATTATTGGTGAACCAAACCGCTAGTTCTCAACCTGTCCCGTAAGATCCGTTGGGCCGTTATCGGCACGAACGCTAAACAGGGAGCAATTATTCATAGCCCAACGAGCCTCACTATCAAATAAGGTCACGCCCAGGTATGTGTTACGCCACAATGTGCCATACTGGATTGATAAGCGAAGCTCTTCAGAGCTCTAGTCGACCTTGGTGGAGCAACCTCGAGTCACCTTGCGTGTCGGAGCAATTAGAAACGATTACACTATCATGGCAGCCATCGGTCTTCCCACCCCATTCTTGCGGGATATTATTTCACCCTCCATCAGTATCGAACACATTTTCCTCTATATGTCGTCGTTCCATTATTTTGACAATTGTGATTCATTTCGGAGAGTTATTCCCAAACATTTCTTATTCATCACACGAAGTGATTTAATCGTCGCGATTCGTAAGCGAAAACGCCCACACGTCGGTTCTTCAATACATATAAAGGTCTTTAACAGTACATCATTAGTGATTCTTTGTACTCATTAAAATCAGGACTCCCTGACCATTCCATTTGGAGCGCCCAAGCTGCATGCTCAAATCAAAAACCTCGTCTTAGATCTCTTACCCGCGTCTTAGACTTGGTGGCTATGCCGCCATGGTGGCTTCTTGGTGTGATTGGTATGATCGTGTGATTATTAGAGGTTTATGTTCTTGTAAATCTCCTTGTGAGGGATCTTTCAGGATGTATCGTGTGGTATTCGCTGTTATTGTGTTGGCGGTGTGTGAAGCTGTGCGTGATCCAGTCGATCGCCGTCAAAGGACGATTGCTCTGTGGAGCTGGACCAGCTAAAAACCTCCGCGTGAAGCTCATTGACACTGACACTGGTACGTTTCTTGTTAAGCTGTTGGAGGGAAAATCTGTCTCTTATGTATACACGATATAAATGCCTTTCTCCATCATTTCTCAACAAGGTCTACTGTAACTGAACAAACCACATCTCTAGAGATTACGGTAATACCGCCGACTATCGCGAGTAGGGTTTGCTCTGAAAGCTGTTTTATTATGATAGAGTTTGCTTGGTCTAACACCGCAGTTCGCATTTAAAAGTGACCTTCACGCAATGTCTGAATTATAGGCAAAAGTTACCCCAAACGAGCACCTCAACCTTAATCTGTATATCATTGAGTTTGCGCGGTAGCGTCCACCAGCGACCATCAGCATTTTGAGCGTCCATTAGCGTGAGCGACTAGGAAAGTATAGACATAAATCTAGCTAACAGCAGTGTATACCAGCACCGCTGGCGACCATCAGCCTCTCGAGGGACTAAGAAAGTATGGTTATCGACCTGGCGCCTACCAGCCCACCAGGCCAAGAGTGCAGTGAGACGATTGGGAAGGACGGAGACATACTGATTAAACGTGTAAAACTGTTGGCGCGTGCTCAACGCGCCGTACTAATACACAGTACCGTAACCTGGCTGCGACGGTGCAGTCGTGCTGGTAGACGCTCGCAAATTATAGAATGCCAGCATGTACGAGCGCTCTAGTAGCGTATTATGTACGACCTTCTTTTTATCCTTTTCTTTGAAGGTCGTCCTGATGACCTCCTCGACCAAGGATATACCGACAACGACGGCAATTTCTCGCTATCGGGTGGCACTGCTGAAACCACAGACATCGATCCTATTCTTAGAGTCTACCATGACTGCAATGATGTGACTGGCATTGCAAGTGTACCAAAGGTAGAGTGTTGCGATGGTTTTTACTCGATTTATTTGAAATTATAATTGATCCTAAGAATTATCATTCAAATGACAGCCCTACTCGACGGGCTACAGCGAAGCGGTCCTCTCGGTTTTGAAGGCAGTTAGTGTGTTGGCCCTGGGCGGTACCCGCGTTCTTGGGGGGAACTTTGCAACTGCCGCCGTTGGGCAATATTTTGCGAAATACGATCCTCTTCCCTCACAAATTCCTCCTCTGGTGCTACCTGACCCCCCCCCCTCTCCCATCCTACTAGCAAATTCCAAAACTCTTCCAACTTTCCCAGGCAAATCCCGAAGGCAAATGCGACCACTTCAGCTGCCGATCATGAGCCCCCACTGGGGTCCCTAATGTACAAAGTGCCCTGGGCGGGAAGAAGGAGAAAAAGCGTTAACCCTCAGGGATGTGGTCAAATCCCTTCCACGAGTGGCAATAGAACTGCCTGCCCCACCTCCCAGCCAGGACATCCAGTGTCTTACAAACACTGCTCATACTGCTATCCAAATCAGTCCAATGCTTTTCAGCCAGGAAGCCGTAAGGTAACGTTCCGTCTGCCAACGAAGTATATTACTTATGCCAAGCAACCGAAGATTACAATGGACATCGGTGCTATCAATTTGGAACTCGAGTTCCTGGATGAAGGAAGAGACTATATTGTCAGTTGACTCGCACGCTAATAAATATTCCTCGGAGCACCGATCTCTTGATCTGTTGTCATACTGTCTGTACGTGAAGATAACTAGTTCAAATTACCCTAAATAATCAATAATTAATATTGAAGACGAAGCATTCCGTCTCCAACAGTAGCTTTCGCAAGGTGCCACTCATTTGGCTCTCACCCGTCATCTAAAGAAGTTGTAGGAGCCATTGGAACAGTGTGTAATTCTTGCCTCTATAGCATGAAGCTTGAAGCTCCCGAAATAAAAATCCGCAGACCAATTTGTGGATTGAGATATTAGCATCTTCTGCCACAATGTACCTCAACGTCTCAGTAACATACCTCGACTAAGACCTGGCTTCCGTCACCACAAGTAACCACACCTGAGACTGCAAAGGGTGAGCCACTTGGCACAACGCTAGCAAGGACCCAAAGGCTAGATCTCTAGGTCTATTGGTGGTCCACGCCCTACATACCAAAAAAACGCCTGCGGCAAACTGCTGCGGGCGGGGGAAATTGGGAAAAAGATCATTGCTAGCCACTGGTCCTTTATTGACTGGCCTCTCACTAAACGAGTACCCATACGGTCGCGTAAGGCGCCCTTTCAAGCTGCAACATGCCCATCCGGAACGTCCACCGCACCTGCCCGTCCACAATTGTGTGAACAATCTCATCGACGGTGGTACACAATTGATATGAAGCGCTTGCTACATGGATACATGAATACATACGTGTAGCTGTATCTAGCAAGGGGGTTGTTGGCACGATTCCAACGGGAAACTCGCCCGAAAATATGTTCTTCCAATGGCGTGCAGAACAAAAATGGTTTCGCAGGTTACCGTAAAACCTCGATTTTTTCGTCATTTTCCAAATCTGTAGCAAATCTGCTACCATTCTCCAGTATGTACTAAACTGGCGTGCCTCATGCCTTTGAGTTATTTTATTGTAACTGGTACACAGCCCAAGGGAGGGAGTTCAATCCATTTCATAAAGAGCTGAACGAGAAGAAAAAAAGAACATGGTCCTCACGACAACTTTTTTTCCGCACCCTGAATCAATACCTCAGAGAAAAATTCTCCTAGAGGAACTTTTCTGTGCGAGAAGAAGCTGAACTTTGGTTCTGGTTTTTTGAGGCCATTGTCGAGGCTCTTGCGACAACGGCGTTCCTGAGCTGTTTGTTGGAATTGCCTGTAATCTCAAGAATAAACAAATGATTGGGACCTTGTTATACTACAGAGAGTTCATGATTGAGGGCAGGAGTCCTGCTCCTATCAAGCTCTTCGACGTCGCGTGCGGAACGTCAGAGGCCATGGAAGAGCGTCAGTAATCTCAGCTGATTCTAGATTTATTATCTATGGCTGTATGACTTCACAGCACCTCGCGATGCTTCTTCCACAGCCTCTCTGCATCACTTCGTAGCTTCACAATAGTTTGCATGTCTCCACGTCGAAGAGAACTAACATATGCTCTCCTCCCCCACACTTCCACGCGTGAACCCAATCAAGTAATCGCTACAGTTGTGCAAAGCATATCATGCAAATATTTTCGAAATCCCTGATATGTGGTAGGCGTGGCGGCGTACTTCACCGGAACTTGGCGATGGCTGTCTTTTTGGAGAGATAGTATCTCCATTTTGACACGACTGCGGTCCCATTTCTGTCCAACACACAACAAGATGACAGTTGTCTCAAACTGGAATGCCTCATGAGTAATCCATTCTGTGCATGTTCGAAAGCCTCGCCTACTTCGTCTTAGGTTTCGCCATGATGGCTTAACGAGCTTGCTCCAGCTCCACAAGAGTTCACAGGTTTCAATAGAGTGAGACTTGTATTGACCTTTGTCTTGTCCTGTGGCAATAACACCGTGCGTAGATGCTTTTGTCTTGTGTTGACCGAAGTTAGTGAAGCAACGAAAGAGCAAAATGCCCCCCCCCCTCGCCGAACTGCGCCTCGGCCGCCTCCAACTATGGCAATAACACCGTGCGTAGATGCTTAGCACCATCGGTGGAGGCTGCTAAGGGACTGGTTCTTTATAGAGGAGCGATTACAATTGGATGTCTTCTACGGTACATGACATGCTACAGTGCTGGTGTCCTTATTCGCCGCAGTATTGAGAAGTGAACCTTTCGGTTTTACAGAACGACTCTCGAGAAAAACTTTTGGAATAAGGGTTAGTACGGTAGTGCAACTGTCCACGAGCAATCTGGACCGGATTCTTTTGAACGCGTCGTTTTCTGTTTTTCTCCGCACTCTCTCTCTCGTCTGTATGGTGCCTCATGGCCAATCTCCCACATTTCAGCTTTTTACACGCTATAAGGCCACGTTCCCTTTCAAAGAACCCGCATCCTGTCCCACCACAAGTTTCTTGCCCACTGCTTTGGCAGTCGGTGTCCTCAACTGCCGCCGTTGGAGGGTTTTCGCAATGACCATGCCTAATGGTAAGTG